GGGCGTGAGCTTCCAGAAGACCGTGCTGGTGGGGGCGCGGCAGCAGGGCCGCCTGCTGGTCCGCCACGCCTACAGCTTCCACCAGAGCAGCGAGGAGGCCGGCGACTTCCTGGCGCACGCCGACCTGCAGCGGCGCCATTCGGAGTACCTGGTGGAGAACGCGCTGCATCTGCACCTCATCGTCAAGCCCGTCTACCACACCCTCATCCGGACCCCCAAGTAGCCTCCGGATGGGCAGATAAAGGCCTGGCCCAAATGGCCAGTGGGTCTGGGAGGTGGCTCCAAGCTTGGCTCCCCGGGGCGGAATCTGGGCGAGGGGTGGTAGACCAGATGCCTGGTCTCAGGAGCCAATTTCTCGGTTCATTTGAAGGCAGCCTTCTTGGTCCTGAATAAACCAATGCTCGGAGAGGTGAGGGGATGATTGAGCCACCCAGTCCCTGGGTAAAAACCCAGGGAGAGTCTCACAAGGCTGGGAGTTCCCCTGCCCTTCACTGAGCTTTTCCCCAGAGACCCCACCCAGACATGGGACAAGGCAGGTCAGAGCATCCAAATGGTCAAAGCGACCGACCAGCCCTGGCAGCCTGGGAGACCTGGTTACCCCTCGCAGGGGTTTTCTCACCTTGAAGCTGAGGGGCTTAGCTGGGCAATTTATCAGACCTGACCCCAAGGGGGCAACCACCTCATCTCTGTTGTGAGGCTTCTGTGGTCTGGGCCACCCCGAGTCCCTAATTGGATGAATGCAACTTGCTAGCTCCACCCTTCCTGCAGAGGGGCCTCGGGGTCTAGAGAAAAAGCCCTTTCTCCAGGTGTCTGTAGGTTGGTGCTACGCAGCCAGCCAAGGGGAGATGGGGGGGTGGGGGATTGGTTATGGCCGTCCCACATTCTAGACAAGGTCTAGTTTCCAACGCAACCGTCAAGACCCAAATGGGATTTTATTGTTAAAAAGGGGGGGGAAAGCCACTGCCAAGTAACAAAACCAGGTTCCCTCCCCTACCCCCTGCTATAATATGTGAAATGCCTGTTGACTCCTTCCCCAGCCATCCAGGGTGCCCTTGCCCCTGGTGTGGGCCCAGGAGCCCCATGTCACTAACAGCTCCTCTGCCCCAGTTCCAAGGCTGAGACTGGCCACAGATCTGCACGGGGCTTTGGCAACAGCATCTGTCCAGGGCTGGGATGCCACGGACCCGGCCATCCCAGCCA